ACCATTTTCTCCTTATTTTACTTGAAAATTTCCGCAAATATCTTTATTTGCCAAAGATCTTCCAAACAAATAATTTACTTCGAGAATTTTGCTAAAATATCAATTGGAGTGCAATGTGAATGATTAGTTATCTTTTGAAAGTGTAGAGGGCTATTATTTTTTTATGGGGGTGCAAAGTGACAAATGCTATATTTTGAGAGAGCAGAGTTGTAAAATTTTCTTAAAATTTCAATAAATTTGGCTGACATTTTAGAATTTAGAGTTAACATTTACCTCTCTGCAAATATTGTGAATTTACTCATTTCTTGATTTATAATTTCATTCTTTCTTTTTGGGTTATGAATATGATCACAAGTGGGTGGTATTATATCACAAAAAAATGAAGAAATTTTGTATAAAAAATAATCATGCATGCCAGTGAAAGCATTACTACAATCATATTTACCAAAAAAAAAAAAGTTATTTCACTCACTTAAATTTAGTTGACCGAAATTTAGCAAGAAAAAAGAATGAAAAAGAAAAGAAGTGTAAGGGCAATGGATCAATGAAATCCCTGTTCTTGCATATTTTTGAAAAGTTTTCTTGCTTACTATGAAAATGAGAAGTCTTATTTACTTATAAATTAGAAAAATCAGTGTATTGACTCTGCTTCTATTCCAAGTCCACATTGTTTCAGTGGAGCAATTGAACAACCAAAATTGTTTCATACATTTTAAAAAATTTAAACTTAGTCCCCAAATTGTAAGATTATTATTAAAATAAGGAGATATATTAATAACTTACACTTTCACCCCTCAATTGGGATTTTCTTCATTGTTTCACCATTTCACAATTTGAAAGGTTTTTTTAGGTGTTGTTGCAATATTAATATTGTGATATAATTTTTGGAGTTCACTTCAAGGTTTGAAAACAAAAATCAAGATAATGAAAATTAAAGATGGTAAATGGAATCATGAATGCAAATACAAGGCAGAAGCTGATGCTTTCGGTTCGACGAGGGCGTCAAACACCGTTGGTGGGGGAGGTCTGTTACCCCTCAGTCGGTGCCATCGGCTATAACTCAAGTGTCGCCAAGTCATGGCCGAGAAACGATGTCAAGCGAGGGTTGGCACAAGATAGCCACTCAATCGGGCAATGAGTGGTCGAGTGTTGGGCAAGCACATGGGGTGTTTGTCCGAGAAAAAAATGGAACAGACTGATTTAAGTGGGAACAGTGATCGAAAGTACTTGGCTGATAGCACAAGTGAGTACCGGTAATACTCGGCGTTCGGCACGGGCGTGTCTCGGCAAATGGCATGAGTAATTCTCGATAAGACTTGTGACTGGTACGAGCGTTGCTCGGTAGCCAATGCGAACAAGTGTGGGCAATAATCGGCATGTGGCCAAGAACTTGGGAAAGCGAGCGTTCGGAGGAAATTGACATCAACTTCACAAGTGTGGGTAAGTTAGCACGACCGGTTGGCAAGTCAAGGAAGGCAACCCAATGAGCGGGTGTGCTGATGACTGTGTAGGGAAAGAACTCGCAAGTGATTGACAACGCAAGCAAAGTGTGCGGGCAAGGCAATGCAGGGTGCTGCCTAGCAACCGACCGGGTTGTTTGGTGCCCGCGCCCAAGCAAGGTAGGCGTCCGACAATTCACTAGCTGGGTGGTTTTTGAGGGAAGTTGATGATCGGTTGAGGCTTGGAAAGCATGCGGAACTACCCCTTATTACTTGTAATAGTTAGCCAAGTGTCAGGCATGTGTGCCGCCAAGTATCCCTAGGTAGTTTAATTTGTAAGCTACCTTTTTCCTTATACTTATAGGGAGATGAGTGCACAAATCCGACCCATCTAGTATTCGAGAGTTCTGATTGGAATTGTGGGTATTCTGACTGAGGATTTTCTGTATGCACCTTCGTCTCCTCTGTATTCGTTGTTAGGAAATAAATATTAAGGTTGGAAGATCGTATTTGTGTGTTGTTTTCTGCTGCATACTCTTGTTTATGTTTACGTTGGCTTAAAAGACTTTGTATGTGTGCGTTTGTGTGAACAGAATCGAGAGCAAGGCTAACTCATCTTGCGAGGAGATCAGGCCGCACGGGTGAAAATTTCTTGAGTAAAGAAACCCTGTGACAATTACCATGATGGGGGTTCCGGTGAAGATGCTGATTTTTTTTTTCATAGAATACACGAGCAGATGGAGAAGAATTAGAAGAAAAACAAGAGCTAGTTGATCAATTTGATCCCAAATCTGATACAAAATACCAAAGACGTGAATCCAAGAAGAAAAAGCCGCATTCAAAACGCTATCAAATTCCAACAACCCATCGTCAAACTCGTTTTTGTGCTAATATCTTGGGTTATTCTCAAGATATTTGGAAAATTTTGAGCAAAGCATGTAAATTTCTTTGAGTTTTCATTTTGAAACGATGAAGAAAAGAAGAACCAAAATCTCGTCTAGAAGACTGGGGATTTCAGCGTGAGTTTTTCTATAATTCCACTAGCAGCCTTTGGATGTGGGCATTTTGCTAATTGAGGAACTACCGATCAGTTGTAACTGGGGCCTATTTCCTATTTCTGCATTTTTTTTTTCCTAGGCTTAGTTTTTTTATTTTTTCGCCTTTTCACCTGTTGAGTGTAGATTTTACACTCAATACGTTTACTTTACGTGGATCTTTTGTTTAGATTTAATTATATTTGTGCTTTAATTGATTGATTTTGTGTTTTATAGGTGAAAAACCAGAATTAGGTTTCCATGAAGGAAAAAATATCAAAAAGAAAGGAAAAAGTTGCAAATAAGGAAACAAATCAAATTGGAAGAAGGAATCTCGCCACAGCTTTGACAGTGTCCACGATTTCGAGCATATCTCTCTCATACAAACTCCGAATTAGGTGATTTTGGTGGCATTGGAAAGCTAATTTCAAGGGCTACAATTCTTATTTACACAATATTCCAAAATTCGGACTCCAACATGGCGAAAATCGAAGAACAAGTCCTAATGGGGGAAAGTGGCGGAAATTGATTCCTATTAGGTTTCTACTACTTCCTTATCAAGAAAAGCCTATAAAAGCAACATGTCTCTACACCATAAGCACGAAATTTGACACCACAAAACACGAAGAACGAAGATCAACGAAGACTCAAGCATAGTTTTTCTTATTTCTTTTATTTTTATTTTGTTTATCATAAGAATTACGAGTAGCTAAGTTTTTATTCTAGGATTTTATTGGAACCCTATGTGGTAATTCGAACCTATTTTTCTACTTTTATGCAAGTTTAATTCTTCGATTATTTCTTCTATCTTGATCTTATTTAGCGCATGAACGTAGCTAATTTATGTTGCTATTTGTTATTGTTAGAATTGATTGACAGATCGTTTTAATAATTAGAACAGGGATAGAAGAGCCTTCGAGTAGTTTTCACCGGATGAGTGTGTTAATTGCATGTATTATCATAGACATATAGATAATACCTTAGGTAGCCGTTTACGAGACTTGTTATTTAATGCTTTATTTATACTAGGTTTGCATAGACATATAGTGAATCTTTTATGAATAATAGACTTATAATACAGCGACAGCTGGTTATGAGTAATTTCGTGTCTTGGGTTAATAATCGAGAATCGTAACTTGCATGATAGGAGGTTAATTGGGTGAAGAATTATCGCATAGGGGGAAGATAAAATCCTAGATCCGTTTTATATTGATATTTTATCTTGTTTAATTGCTTTCTTAATTAGTTTAATTTATTTAGTTAATTAATTTGAGAAACCTGCGTAGGCTGGATAAAAATCGTAATTGTTAAAATTTGGTACTTAGGATTAAATAATTTGCGTATTCCCTGTGGGATCGACATCCGACTCTCACGAGTCTACTTTACTACTTGTTTGCGATACGTGCACTTGCGTGTGGGTATTTAGCACCCAACATCACCCTATAGGTGTTTTTTAGTTATTTTGCTTTCACCCCATTAGGGAGTTTTTTTGTAATAGGCTTCTTAGGTTTCTTTTTGCATTTTTAATAAAATACTATTACTAGAGGAAAAAAATATTGTTAATCATCAAGCCGACTTGTTGGTCGAAAACTCACACGCAAGTTTACGTATCGTAACAAGTAGTAAAGTGGACTCATGATAGTCGGGTGTCGAATCCACATGAAATTCAACTATGTAATTCCAAGTACTAAATTCTCACAATTTACTATCATATTGTTCCATTCTCCTTATGTTGATGTCTCATATTCTTGTTTTGCTGAAGTTATTTAGTATATTTATAACACGTTATCAACACGAGCTTTCTCCCATTTTTCATTGAAGTTGGTAAGGAATTTTATGATTATTTTAATATCCTGGAAAAATAAAATTATTCATGTTTTCAATCAGTGGCTTGTAAAACATGTTTTAAATATTTTGATATACATATATGATTTAAGAATTAGATTAAGATTATAGATAAAAACCATTAGTACAAATAAAATTCTAGAATTTTATTTTGACTATGTGATGCTTTAAAATTTATTAATCTATGTATGATATTTGTTTAATTAAGAGCTTATATAATTATTATCTCTTTTATGGATTAACAAAGATATCAAATGTTTTGATATATAATAAGACATGTTAATTTAATTACTTTATAATCATTATTGTTAATTAAAATGCTATATTTTAAATTATTATTTATTTGCTTTATTGCTATGCAAATTATCATAAGAACTTGAAGTTCTTTAAAGAAACTATAGGCCTGAAGTCCATATCGAATATCAAATCCTGAAGCTTGGATATATTGAACAAGTTAGACTCAAACCTGAAGTTTTAAGTATACATATAATCTAAAGCACTATTAATTTTATGATTCAGTGCTATGGAAAACATCATCAAGCTTGAGTTCGCTGCTCTAGATATTTTCAGAAGAAATTATCTAACTTGGATCCTTGATGCTGAGATCCATTTGAATGCCATGAACGTTAGAAATACCATTAAGGATGGTAATGAGTAAAGTGAAAAAGATAAGGCGAAATCAATGGTTTTTATTCGCCATCATCTCCATGAGGGCTTAAAATCCGAGTATCTTGGGGTAAAGGACCCTGCTACTCTAAGGAACAATTTAAAGGAGAGATACGATCACCAGAAGAGTGTGATACTCGCTAAAGCTCGATATGAATGGATGAACTTGTGTTTGCAAGATTTTAAATCGGTAAATGAGTATAATTCCACCATATTTAAAATTGTTTCTCGATTGAGATTATGCGAAGACGATGTCACAGAACAGGACATGTTAGAAAAGACATTTACCACTTTTCATTCCTCTATTATGCTCCTGCAACAACAATATCGTGAAAGAGGTTTTACAAAATACACTGAATTGATTTCTTGCCTCCTCGTTGCTGAATATAACAACGAGCTCTTAATGAAAAATTATAACTCCCATCCAACAGGATCACAAGAATTTCCAGAAGTAAATGCAAATGTTTCATTCCCAGAAGTGAATGCGAACAACTATAATCATGGTCGAGGTCATGGCCGCGGGCGTGGGTATCGCCGTGGTCATGGTTGACGTCAAGATGGTCCTAGAGTTGCACCATACCACCCGAAGTGGAATAAAATTGGTACAAACAAGACAAGGGCAAGACTGTAAAATTTGGCCCTCATAATAATCAAAATGAGAGTTGCCACAGGTGTGGGGTGAAAGAGCACTGGTCACGTGCCTGTCGTACTCCAAGGCATCTTGTTGATTTATATCAAGCATCCATCAAGGAAAAAGAAAAAGGGAAAGAAATCAATTTTACTGATTTTAGCAATACCGAGAATGAACATATTGATCCAATGGACCTTACCCATTTGGATGTTGTTGATTTCTTTCCCGGGCCAAGTGGAGAAATTGATGGGATCAAATTTTATGGTGATGATAATAATGATGGCAACAAATAAATCAATCAGGATTGATCAAGTATTACATTTATGTTGCATTTGAATCAAATAATGTTTATCTTTCCATTTCCTAAATAAGTTCGAAATAATTTTATGTGTGGTTGATATCATGATTGATATAAGAAAATAAAATTATTATATCTTCTTATATTACCTACTTGGAATCTTATGAGTCCGTGAGAAACTTGAACGATGGAGACATTTGTTTGGTTGATAGTGGAACAATACACACAATTCTTCGAGAACAAAAATATTTCTCGAGTTTGAAATTGGCAAAGGTAATTTTTAGTACAATTTCTGGTACTACAAAAGTAATTGATGTCTCCAGAAGAGCTAATATTTTTTTGCCTGGTGGAACGAATGTTTTGGTCAAAGAGGCTTTGTACCCTAATAAATCCAAAAGAAACTTATTGAGTTTCAATGACATACGTCTCAATGAATTTCATATCGAGACTATGAATAAGGGGAATGTGGAATTTCTTTGTATTACAACCAATATTTCATGCCAGAAGCATGTTAAAGAGAAACTCCCAGTTTCTTCTCATCATGGTTGTATTATGCGACTATAAGCGTAATAGAAACAAATATTGTGATGGACCAGAAGTCCAATGATCTGAAACTTTTCTTTCTTTGGCACGAGCGACATGGTCACCCGGGATCGACCATGATGCGTCGAATAATAAATAATTCATATGAGCATACTTTAAAGAACCAGAAGATTCATTTGCCCCCTGAATGTGTGTGCATTGCATGCGCACAAGGAAAATTGATTATAAGACCATCTCCAATGAAAATTAGTAGCGAGGCACCCAACATTTTTACAAAGAATTCAAAGGAATATTTGTGGACCTATAGATCCACCGTGTGGACCAGTTCGCTATTTTATGGTTCTATTGGATGCTCATCTAAATGGTCACATGTAAGTCTATTTTCAACACGTACTGTTGCTTTTTCTAGACTTATTGCTCAAATTATAATATTAAGAGCTCAATTTCCTGATCATCCTATCAAGACTATTCGTCTTGATAATGCCGGTGAATTTTCATCTCAAGCATTTAATGATTGTTGTATGTCAATTTGTATTGATATTGAACAGTCAGTTGTCCATGTACATACACAAAATGGACTTGCAAAGTCCTTTGTTAAGAGATTGTAACTGATTTCTAGACCCTTGCGTTTACGGTCTAATTTACCCACTTCTATTTGGGGACATGCAATATTACATGCTGCTTCATTGGTCCGGATTAGACCAAGTTCATTTCAGTAGTATTCACCGTTGCAAATTGTTTCTGGCCAGCAGCCAAACATTTCTCACTTAAAAATATTTGGTTGTGCTGTTTATGTTCCAATTTCTCCACCTCAGAGAACAAAAATGGGTCCACAAAGATGACTTGGAATTTATGTTGGTTTTGATTCCCCGTGTATAATTAGATACATTGAACCCCTGACAGGTGATTTGTTTAAGGCAAGATTTGTTGATTGCCATTTTGATGAGACAATTTTCCCGTCGTTAGGGGGAAAAAAATCATCGGTGTGAAATTACATGGAATGTACCGTCTTTGTCTCATCTTGACCCACACACATCAATGTGAGAAATAAGTAAAAAGGATAATCGATTTGCAAAATATTGCAAATCAATTTCCTGATGCTTTTACCGATATGAAAACGATAACAATATCTCATACACCAGCTATAAACACCCCGGCACGGGTTGATGTCCCTGAAGGACAACATGAAGATATAATAAAACCTTGCATGAAGCGTGGGCGCCCTATTGGCGCAAAAGACAAGAACCTTAGAAGAAAAAGGGTAATAGAAGGAAATTCTCCTGAAGAGAATATTATTTGTGAACAAGAAAACGCTATGAAAATGTGACTGAGCATTCTAAAGTACATGATGCCCCTGGAGATGATCATGAGAAAAAACTTATATGTGAAGAGATATCTTTAAACTATTTGAATACCAAAAAAAACTGGGATAGAAGTAAAGTTGCTATTGATAATATTTTTGTCTATGGGGTTGCGCAAATGAGGACCCCGAACAAAAATCTGTCGAAGAATGTCGGTATAGAAATGATTGGCCAAAATGGAAAAATGCTATTCAAGATGAATTAAATTCCCTTGAAAACTGTAAAGTATTTGGACCAGCAGTCCAAACACCAGATGGTGTAAAAATTGTTGGATAAACATTGGTATTCGTACAAACACGAAATGAGAAAAATGAAATCGTGAGATATAAAGCACGATTAGTTGCACAAGGTTTCTCACAGAGACACGGGATTGGTTATGATGAAACATATTCCCCCGTAATCGATGCAATCACATTGAGATATTTGATCAGTTTAGCAGTCATAGAGAGGCTTGACATGCGCCTTATGGATGTTGTTACTGCATATCTATATGGATCATTAGATAGTGATATTTATATGAAAATTCCTTAAGGATTTAAAATCCCTAAAATATTTAAATGAAGGTCTCGTGAGTTATACCCAATTAAGTTGCAACGATCCTTGTATGGTTTAAAACAATCTAGAAGAATGTGGTATAACCGTATAGTGAATACCTTGTTGAACAAGGGTATATGAATAATCCAGTTTGTCCTTGTGTTTTCATCAAAATATCTAATAGTTGATTCACTATTATTGCGGTTTACGTGGATGATCTAAATCTTGTGGGAACTCCTCAATAACTCACAAAGTCCGCAAACTATTTGACAAAAATTTTTGAGATGAAAAATTTCGGAAGGACAAAATTTTGTCTCGGCCTGCAGATCGAGCATTTATCCAATGGAATCTCCATCCATCAATCAATATATACATAAATGATTCTAAAACGATTTTACATGGATAAATCTTATCATTTGAGTAGTCCTTTGGCATTGCATGAAACTAGTTGTGAGTGTATATGGTTGAGATCAATGATTCAACATATTCGAGAAAATTGTGGGTTAACTTCAATACGAGATACACCCACAATACTTTACGAGAATAATGCCTCTTGATTGCACAAATCAGAAATGGGTATTAAAGGTGATAGAACAAAACATATATCACTCAAGTTTTTCTACACTCATGAACTACAAAAGAGTGGCGATATTGACGTTCATCAAATACAGTCATGCAATAAATTGGCAGATTTATTCAATAAAACAATGCCAACTACAACGTTCAGGATGATGGTCCACGATATTGGAAAGCGTCAACTCAAGGATCTCTTGCCGACATGAGGGGGAGCGTGATCATTAACTCTCACCACTGTACTATTTTCCCGTCGTCCAAGTTTTTATCCCACTGGGTTTTTCTTGGAAAGGTTTTAGAGGATCTCACGATCGCAAACTTCACACGGATGTGTACTATTTTTCCTTTTTCCATATTTTTCCCATTGGGTTTTACTGGCAAAGTTTATAACGAGGCATATTTCACTAAGATTGACATCCAAGGGGGAGTGTTATGAATGCATTCAATATGCATTTAGTGTGGATGTCAAAACGTAAGAGTTTAAGTGGGCTACATTAATACTTTTATGTATTCAATATGCTCATTGAAAACTATAAATATATGGCATTGTATTGGATTTAAAATATACTTGAGAATACAAGAAAGAACAAAAAGAAAAGGTTATATTCTCATTATGTTTGATCTCCTATATTCTTGTTTTGTTGAAGTTCTTTAGTTCATTTATAACATGAATAAACTATATTGTCCTCCCTCATGTCTAATTATATGTTTACATTGTTATTTTTACTTTCATTATATGACCTCTAAATATAAAATTGTTTTGATCATCCACGTCTATTACTTAACTTTTTCTTTATTTTCATAAATTGTTTTTCAATATTGTTTTATTAATATTGATGTTTGAGTCCAGTATAATATTTATAAAATATACTTAAGTAAACAATAAGACTAATTATGAAGTATATAATAAGACTAATTATTACATCTAAAGATTAAAAATACATTAAACGAACAGTGCTCAATTTAAAAATGGAAAGTCATTTTTATGTGATTACCTATTTATATACATACTTTTAATATTGTAATCATTGGAAAACTCTTGAAATGTAACTTTAAAGAAAAAACATTGTTGAAATTTAATGTATAAAAAATAATTACGATAACGAAAAAATACAGCTTTTAACATATTTTCTTTTTTTTTTTCTAACAAGTCCTTTGACATTAAAATTATATATTACTAAAAATAAGTAATATACATTATCATTTATTTACTTATTATATTTTTATGCCTTTTTTTCCATATTTGACCATGGTTAAATCATGTTATTACTTATACTAATAAAATGCATAAATAACCATAGTGAATAAAATTTAAGATCTTATTTAACCTCCGTAATTATAATCAATCTTAGTCAGTCACAACCATTTTTTCTTCTTATTTCTGGACATATTTTTTATATATGACTATTATGTTTTTATGTTTTTTTACATAATTAACTATGGTTAAATCATATTCTCACTTACATTAATAAAAAGCATAAATAACGATAGTAAATAAAATTTAAGAATTAATTTAACCTCGATATTTTAAAATCAATCTTAGTCATTACAACTATTTCATCTTATTTGTAGACATTTCTTATATATTGGTTATCACTATTTATTTTTTA